CTGTTGTCAAGCCAACTGCAAAAAGCAAACCCCGAGGCAAATCTTTCTGTGAATAAAGGCTGTGTCATAAATAGCTTTTATTATAATTATTTCTAATGATGTTTTATATGGTATGTTTGATGTGAGCTTTTCCAGGGGCCTCGTGTACATTTGCATATCAGAGTATATTCTATCCAAATATAATATTTACTCATTCAGAGTGTGGTACTAAGGTAGCTATGACACTTTAAAAGAAATGGAAAGTAAAAAGAAAGCGTGTACAGTGTACATCTTTCCCTCTTACTGTTCCGTGCTGGTGTCTGTCAGAGTGGTGTCTGTCTGTTAATGTCTCCTATCACAGTAGGAAGAGACGAATGAGAAGGCTGGATTTATGTGTAAATAATGACAGTGATTACTCCCTGGGTCAGCATTGCCCCTCACATCCTGCTGATAAGAGATGATGGTCAAAAAACAACTGAGCAACCAAGTCTTAAATTCCCCTGCTCCCACAGAGTGTGATGCTAACTTCATCTGCTGCATTGGCTCTATGGACCAGACCCAACCACCTCCTGCTGAGATGCTCTGGAGCTGTGCAGCACCAAAAGATGAATCTGGATCACCCCCTCAAGTCCACATGCACAAAATTCCCAGCTAAACCCGAATAGCAATAAATGTATATCAAATGCTCAGGCCTGCACCATAGTTGTTGTGGTCCCATTTCTTTAATCGTTGAGAGGAGGTGGCAGATTTGCAGGGCTGGGGGGGAGATGCAAATCTGTTCCTGGGGGGGGGTGGACACCAGACGAAGCAGCCACAGGGAACCCCAGCGACTGGGACGTCCCAGAGGTGGTTTGGCATGGCTGCTCCCCGTGACTCTCGTGGCAGGAGGGCAGGGTTTGGGCTGGCAGTGAGGCACAGTCTGAGCATTCACACTGGCTTCTCCGAGAGCCCATCCCACAGCCATCAGCTGAACCCCACGGGCTGAAGGTCATCTTTTGTCCCCGCAAAAGATGGGCAGCCCCCACCAAGGGCTTAAGCCATAGGATATTTCATCCCCATTCTCCTCCCTTGTCCCTTACTGAGGCCATGGGCCATCTGCCCCCCAGTGTCCCCCCCCGGGGGGTGCCTGCCCTGAGCTTTTCCTCTTTTTTTAGGACTCTTGTTTTCTCCCATCAGGATGTGGGCGTGCAGGATTAAGGGCTTTGCTGTCACCCTGACAGCACGAGGAGATGAAATGCTGCCTGCCACCAAAGCCTCCTGATGTGAATGTCACTGCCCCTGTGCAAGGCAGGGAAACTGAGGCAGAGATGCCCCTGGCAGCAACATCCTGCAGCCTGGCCCAGCCCAGCACCTGCAGCCAGGGCTCAGCTGGGGCTGCTTAACCCACTGATTTGCTCCAGCTGGAGCTGGTGGGGCTTGGGGCAGGGCTCAGCACTGGGCCCCTTCTGGGCTCTTATAAACCAGCAGCCTGAGAGCCCATAAGGCTTTTTCTCCCTTTTTCTTTTCCCCCTTACTTTCAGGAGTCTTAGTTTGGAGGTGGGAGGGTTGGGCTCTGCTCCCTGCAGCTCTAGGATGTAGTGCCAGGATTTCCCACGCTTCCCAGTGCTGCCACACAGGTAAGGGCACAGCCTCTGCTCTCCCATCCCTGTTCTGGGGCTGCTGCTGGGAGCTGGGCTCTGCTCTGGGGCTGCTGGAGCCTCCCAGCACAGCCCTTGTCCCACATGATGTCCCAGATGAAGGATCATGGCATCGCGTAGCTCCGTGGTGGCCCTGGGGCTCAGTTCCCAGCCCAGCTGCAGCACCCCGCTGTCTGTGCAAAGAAATTCCTTCCCTGGGCTGCACCTCCCGTCGCAGAGCTGCCTGTTCAGCCAAGACAGCTTCTTCAGGAGCTCCAATAGGTACGTGGCTGTGCGTGGGGCTGAGCGCTTGTCTTTGCGCCCATCTCTGAGCCCCTATAGCCAGGTCACACCAACCTGGGGTTCGTGGCATCTCTCCCCTCACCCCACTGCTATTGGGGCTGGGCAGCCCTGCACATCCGAAGGCTGCCGACTCATTCCTGCGTCCCTGCTGCTCTCCCAGGAGTTTCTGTGGTATGAGTGATGCTGCGGGTTCAGAACTGTTCGACTGCAGCTACTCCATCCCTGACCCGCAGCTGATCCGCAGGATTGTGTCCCAGGTGGAGTTCTACCTCTCTGATGAGAATCTGGCCAAGGATGCCTTCCTCCTGAAGCACGTCCAGAAGAACAAGTTGGGCTTTGTCAGCATCAAGCTGCTGACATCCTTCAAGAAGGTGGGAGGATTTGGTGCCTGCTGGGCAGAAGGGGGCTTCTATGGGGTGGGTGAAGCAGGGAAGGGAGGGTTGTGTGGGGAGGTGTGGGTCAGAGTCACAGAATGGTTTGAGTTGGAAGAGACTCTTAAAGGTTGCCTGGTTCCACTCTCCTATGGTGAACGGAGGCACCCACAGCTCTGCCAGGTGCTCAGAGCCCCATCCTCTGATCTTGAATATATCTAGGGATAGGACACCCACCCACCTCTCTGCTCTTCCAGCCCTTGGATTGTTTTTGTGACCCTCCTCTGGATGCATCCCAACAGCTCCATCCTTTTGTCCCCCACCTTGCCCTAACAGTGGGGGGGAGGGGTTGAAAACCTTGCACTTAGCTTTGTTGTCTCTCATGTGGTTTCCCTGGCCCCACTGCTCAGCCTGTCCAGGTCTCTCTGGATGCCATCTCATCCCTCAGGGGTGTCACAGCACCACGCAGCTCTGTGCCATCCAATGGTCATCTCCATGGTCTTTAGGGGCTTTCTCCTGCAGACCCTGATGGAGTTCAGGTGAACACTGTGCTGCTGTTGGAGCATCCAGAGGAGGGTCACAAAACTGATCCCCAGGATGGAAGACCAGTGAGGTGGTGGGCGCTGCATCCCTTGGAGACCACCGAGGTGAGGCAACAATGCTCTGAGCACCTGATGGAGCTGGAGGGCCCTAAGGAGGGATGGGAGCCTTGCCCAAGTTGGCTCACTGCAACGAGTTGCACCAGACGGTCTTCAAAGGTCCCTTCCGACTCAATGATCCCATGACTGCCTTGAGGTGAGGCTGTGCCTGCACCATGGCTCTGGGCAGGGGCTCAGTGTCCCTCTCCCCATAGGTGAAGTACCTCACCCGAGACTGGCGCCTCACGCTCTACGCCCTGCGCTTCTCCGAGCTGCTGGAAGTCAACCAGGAGGGCACCAAAGTGCGGCGTCGCATCCCCATCCCTGACTCCATCCTCAACGTCCCTCCCACCAAACTCCTGCTGGCCTGGGACCCGCTGCCCCCAGAGCCGGGCACGCCTCCGCCGCTGCAGAGGAACTTCATCGAAACCATCACGCAGATGTTCAGCCCCTTTGGAGCCATCGCCTCCATCCGAATCCTCCGGCCGGGCCGTAAGCTGCCATCGGACATGAGGAAATACGCAGCGCGTTTCCCTGAGCTGCTGAGCCACTGCTGTGCGCTGGTGGAGTACGAGAGCCTGGAGAGCGCGCGCAGGGCCTGCGAGGAGCTGGGCCAGCCCTGCTCCCGTGGCATCTGTGTGGTGAGGCTCTCGGGGAAGGGATCCAAGAAGAGGAGCGGGGCTGAGCAGGAGGAGCTGGTGGAGGCGCGAGCCGAAGCCTTTCCCTGCGCTGTTGGGGATTCGCTGTTCTGCAGCTCCTCGGAGTCGGATGTGGCCTCACCGCAGCTCCTCTCAGCACACGCTTGGCCCCATGGCCACAGCTTCCAGCCCAGCTCCTTCAGCAGCACCTTCTCTGGGTCGCTCCTGGCCAGCATGGCCTTCCCTCCACTCACTGCAGAGCTGGGTTTCAGCCTCAGTGCCACCCCCAAGAGCCCCGATTTGGGCTGGGGGAGCACGTGGGCCCCATGGCACAGCAGCACTGCCCGCAGCCCCTCTGTGGATGCCACCTCCCCCCCCAGAGCCCCCCTGGCTGTGAAGCCCAAATCCTGCGTGCTGCGCCTGCCCCACGGGCCTGATGGCACCAAAGGCTTCTACAACAGCATTGGGAGAGGGAAATTTGTCCTTGAGCACTAAGGCTCCTTTACGTTTGGGTTATGGGATTATTATTATTTTTTAATTATTTTTTATTTTCTTTTTCTTTTTTTTTCTTGAGCAGAACATCTCTTTGTGGCCCATAGAGGCACCGCCGCCGCGTGTGGTTCTGTTTTGGAGTGAGGATGCTCAGGGAAGGGTGGCACCTGAAGCTTTTCCCAATGCCTGAGCCATCCTCACTGCCCATATTGGGGTCTGTGCTCAGGTGATGGTCACTGGTTCTGCCCCATCGCTCCCCCACGCCCTGGGGCTGCTGATGGGGAAACCCAGAGCTTGAGCGTGGCGGAATGGTGGCACCATGGCCTGAAGGTGCTGTGTTGGCTGCACTGGTATGAAGTTGAGGAGCTCAGATGTGGAATGCTCAATAAAGACAGGTGACATTTCCAGGCACTTTCTGGCTGTGAGAGTGACGTTATTTCTCCTCTAGTATTATGGCTTTATGCTGGGCAGATGAGGGGAGTGGGGGTACTGTCCCACCAGCAGCTTCCTCCCTTACTCCCCTCTGGGTTATTTGGGGTTATTTTGCTGCAGCAGGGAGGGCAAGCCAGGCTCTGGAGTGGGCCCTTAAGATAGGTGTAAATAAGGGCTTCACTACTCAGACCCTGTTGTCATGTCTGTGTGTCCCCCCCCGTGTGTCCCCCCCCCCTTGGAGGACCCTGTGTCCCGTCTGTTCCCCCCCCCCCTCCCTTGGGGCTCCTTGTGCCCGTGCCTTGAAGGCACTGCGAACTCCCTCTGCCCTTGGCCTGGGTTTCACTGCAGGGCTGGGGGTGCGGTGTGTAGGCAATGTGTCTGCCTAAGCCTTGCGCCCGGCACCCCCCACCCAAGGTCTGTTCCAGCCCCCACCAAGACATGGAGATGTTCTGAACAAACAATCTTTAATAGATAACAAGAAAAAAGTTGTATAACATCACCCTTCTCCCTCCCCCCTCCCAATCCCATTACAAGGCCTCTAACCCTGCTCTCCCACCCACTGCTGCAGGTGGAGGCTCTCTATTTGCGGCCCTTTCTCAGCAAGAAGCTGTTTCGTCGCTTTTTCCCCCTCTTTTCCAGCTTGGCTTTGGGCTGCAACTCATCGCCCTGCGGTGGTGACAGCAGTAGAGCTGGTGGTGTCAGATCCTGCTGCATCTCCTGGGTGCTCATCTGGACGCTGTCGAGCTGCTCCACGCTCAGCATTATGCTGGAGGCTTCGGGGATGCTGTAGTCAGAGGAGAGCATCTCTTCGGGCAGTAAGAGCGAGCTCATGTTGTGACTGGAGATGATATCATCGAGGTCAGCGAGATCCCCGAGGTCTTCGAGCATAGGGACGCTGCTGGGGTTGTCTTCGTTGACCACCTCCATCTCAGGGGAGCAGTTGAAGAGCCTCACGGCCTCCTCCAGCAGCACCTCGTCGGGCAGCTCGATGTCTAAGCTCTCCAGGTTGGCCCCCATCTCCTGGGGGTCGGGGGTGGTGGAGGTGCCCATCGGGGTGTCACTATCGAGTGGGACGATGCCATCAGAGGGCACAGCAGGGCTGCCACTCGGAGGTGCCTCTGAGATCCTCAGCTGCTGGATCTGCCCCTCCAGCTGCTGGAAGTCAGGGACCGACGGCAGCGGGGTCACGGCGCCACCCTGCTGTTTGTAGGGCACAAACGGCTGCGGTGGGGCTGGGGGGGTCACCCAGCTCTGCGGAGCCCCGGGGGCGACGTTGGGCAACGAAGCGGAGCCCAGGGGGTTGGCCGGTGGCGGCGCGGTGGTGGTCGCCCACTCAAAGTGAAAGACGCGGGGGTCGAAGTAGCAGCCGCACGGAGCCATCCACAGCCCTGCAGGGGAGAAGGGGAGTTGGGGAGGGGGCTCCTCGGGACCCCCCGAGAGCTCACATGGCGGATGGGGGATGTCTAACCTGGCGGGGGGCCGCGGGGCGCGCCGGGTGCCATCAGAGTCCCTATAGCCGGAGGTGCGAGGAGGGGCTGCTCCATCGCAGGAGGCTGGCAGGGTTTGGCTGAGCCTGGAAGAGGTGAGAAAACGCCATCAGTCCCCTCCCAAACCGACGGGAGGAGCCCGGGGTGGGCGGGCCGGGAAGGGAGCGGGGCGCGTGGAGAGACCGGGGTTGGTCCTCACCTACGAAGCTGAAGAGCTCAGGAAGGATGAGCGGCGGAGCCGGGGGGCCCTGGGGGCCACGAGAGGAGCGCAAGGCGGCAGCCAACTCCATGCGCTGCTGTCCGCTAGCGGGTCCAACCGACTCTGCTGCGTTTGGGGTCTCCCAACGGGAATTGCCAGGGGTCCCAGCGTTCTATCCCCGCCCACCGCCCCCTCCTCATCTCGTCTTAAAGGGAGAGGAAGGGTTAACGGGGGCTGCTGTGACCCCACAGCTGTGGGTCTTTATGAGGTGGCGATGCGGCAGGGCTCGTTGGTCCTATTGCAGCCCAGGGGCCGTTTTGTGGCTGTGGGCTGTCAGCGCTGGGGCATCCCATGCGGCCAGCGCAGGGATGTGGGTGCTCAGGGCTGGATGTGGAGCCCCATAAGGATGAAAGTGGAACCCCGTAGGGCTGTGTGTGTTTAGGGGTGGACGTGGAGCCCCGTTTGGGGGTTCTGTTGTGTTTGGAGATGCTCTCTGCCTGGCACAATGAGGCTCTGGCTCTGGATGCCCGACTGCTGTCACTGACTTCATGATTTACTGCAGTGACTTTTGGCGCAACCCTCAGCATCGCAGCATCGTTCTGCCTTGGCAAACTGTCTGGGGGGCTGCACCGTGGGCCATCCATCCTCTCCTTTTCTCCCTGCCCTTGAACCCACTGCCCTAAAATACATCTGCTCCCAGATCAAGGCACCTCACAAGCAAGCCTGGGCTGAAACTTGCACAGCTTTGAACAGCAATTTTTGGAGATCCCCTTCTGCACCCTGCTCTGCAGGTGGAACCACAGGCAGCAGGGTCTGAGTGCTGCAAACCCCAGCTCAGCCCTGCCTGGACTCCTTGGTGGTGGAATGATGGCAGGCAGCGTGTGAACATGTGAGCATTGCTCAGCTGCACCAAAAGCCCCTGTGCTGCTGGAGGAGCTCATTCAGACAGCAGCTGCTCTTTGAGCAGGGAAGGAACGCCCGCTGCTGCGGTGTGGCTCTACCCAACCTCAGCTGCTGTGGTTGCAAACCCCTTTTGTACCCAATGGAATATTTTGGAGGGGATGAAGCTGATTCAGCTGAGCTGAGTCAGGGATGTGAGCTGTCTGCCTCGTGGCTGCACTCGTGGAGTCTTTGAGATACAGAGCAGCTGCATCTGTGACTGTGCTCAGCAGCCTTCACTGCTGTGCTCGAGTGACACGGGCACAGAAAAAGCCCTCGAGGCAGCCAATGGAAGGTCACTGTGCTGTCACCAGGCCTGCTTTCATTCACCCTTCTCTTTAAGCAGAGCTCGTGATGGAAAAACAGCTGCTTTGCATCCCCCATTCCAGCACAGCCCTTGAAGGGGCCGTGTGACATCCAGCAGATGACAGCAGCCCGTGTCAGCTCCCCAAAAGGGACAGGATTCTGTACAACATCAGATGGTGGGAGGGTGAGGGTGGCTGCGCTCTCCAGGACCCCCAGGGATTGGGTCCATACACCTCACCTTCCCACAGGCAGGATTTGCCCCTAACCCAGGCTATCCCCATAGGAACAGAGTGCCACAATGGGAACAGCAGGGTTGAGCGGTGGTTGTGACAGGTAACGATGCTCAAGGTAAGAAAGCAACCACGCTTCTAAAAACATAGAAGTTTATTTTGCTTCTGCGTGCAGCTGAGCAACGCGCACCATCCTGCTGCCTCCCCTGCACTCGATGCTGCAGGAAAGGGCTGCACTGCTCCTATCTGTAGGAATTGGCCTTGTGCTTGGGCAGGAAGGTGAAGTTGGTGGGTACAGGTCCCAGGAGCAGCTCGCTGAAGGGAAACAGAAGAGGTTTGTGTTCAGTACGGAGCCACTGCCACCCCCACCTGCTGCACGGCACCGGGGCTCTGCTCAGATGGACCCAAAGCTTTCACCTTCCCACATGGCACCCAACTGGCTCTAGAGCTGAGCTTGAGCCCTGAACCACAGCAATGGGAGCACAGACTCTGGCTCTTGGCACAGCCCTCACTGCTGGGAAGTCACTGAGGGTCAATGCCAAAATGGGATTCTAAGTTTGGTGACCTGAATACCAGCTTCACTGCTGGCACCCGCATGCCTAAAATCAGCACAAGCCTCTGAGAGCTCCTCCCAACCTCTTGCTGTGTTTGTGCAGAGCCAAACCCCCATTAGTGCCAAAGAGTATTAAGGCTGGATCCTAAAATGACGTAAGCCAGTGCTATTGCGACTGATCCTCACTTAAGACTTCAACTATTTCACACTTGGGAACCCACACTGGATTTCCAGCACAGAGTAATTTTCTTTACAGTCCAGGAGGCTTCGTGTATTTCCTGGATGCTGGTTCAATACAGCACCACTAAAACTTTCCATAAGACATGTCAGCAGAGTATCCCAGCAGGGCACATTGCTGCGTAATGAGAAGCTGTGATGGTGAAAGCAGAGCAGAGCAGAGCATGCCTGGGAGCCCCCTCAGCTGCTTCACATCTCCTTACAATAAGCTTTAATGAATAAACCCAATTGGACTGGAAATTGAATTTTTATGGCTACGAATCTCTCTTAGAAGGTGCTGCAAAGAGCAGTGGTCACAGAGCTTTGCACAGCCCCACGTGGGCAGGTTCTGCTCGAAAAACCAGCAATTAAAAATCCCAATCAAAACTTGATGTGCTCATAACTTGCTTTCAGGCAGCCGTTCCCAGCACTACGTGGATGAGGATTAGCAAAAAGCAGAGAAGCTCGTGGCTGTGCTCTATTTTTGTTAATCTCCGTTTCCATGACACAAGGAACAGCAGCTGGCTGTGCTGCACCAGTTCTCATTTTAGCTGCCTTGGAAGTGAAGCCGCTTCCCAGCCATTGCCTGTAGGCTTGTAGGAGTGGGGAGAAGCAGTTGTGTCTGCGTTTTGTTGCACAAGCTCAGAATCAGATGCTGAGGAACGGGGGGGTCGCACTCGGTTCCCTCCAGCTGGGGAAGCTGCCCTGCTGCTGGGCTGAGCAGAGCTGTGTGCAAAGTGCTGACAGCCCCAGCGCCCCATCGCTGCGCTGCCTCCTCTCAGTTCCTGCCTGTCCCAGGATGAGCAGTGTGTCATGAGAGAGGTCAGCCAGCCGAGGTCTGCATGGCTGTGCACGACCTCCTGAGGCAGAGGGAGGGAATGAGAGCCCTTCTGTGGCGACTCCAAGCTGGGTTCAAACCTCCAAGTGAAAAACTGCCTGACCCTGTGCTTTGTTACCTGATTTTAATCCAATCATCCACGTTTTGGCTTGCCATCAGTGTCTCCAGATAGTCTCTCCCTATGTAGTAAGGCGGCCGCTCGTTGATCTTCTGAGGCAGGCGCTCCAATAACCCGACTGGAATATACCTGCAGCAAAACACAAACACTATGGGCACTGCGTGCTGCTGCTCAAGGAGGTGGGCCTGTTGTGGGGACAGTCCTCCAACCCGGGCACAATTACCTGCACAGGAACGAGAGCCATTCCAGCAGAAACTTCCTGGTCTTCTCCACACCCTGCATATCTGACCCCCAGTGCTCCAGGCCGTAGTTGGTGAAGTCTTTGAGGATATCAAATCTCTCACTGGAGGAGATGTCCCAGTGTCTCTGCTCCTTGATTTCAGTGAAAAGCCACGGTTTGATGAGTGCTCCCCTGCAGCCCAATAAAACGTGCATCACCACTCCTGCGACTGATGCTTCAGAGAGGACTAAAATGGTTTCCAGCTCTCATCTGCCAGCCCAGCGCTGCTGGAGAAGCTTTCAGCCACTGTAAGCTCTCACAGACACACACTGTCCCAAGTTTCAAAGAGTGATTTCATTCAGAGGAAGCTCTTCTCATATTTAGAGTTGGTTTAGGTATTTCTGTTATTTTTTTCCCCTTTTTTCCTACTTTTTTCCCCTGCACCAATAGGCTCAGAAGCAAAGGGGGAAATGCAGCCACTTGCCTTGCAATCATAATTCCTGAGACGCCGGTCTGCATGGCTTGATCAGCATCTTCGTAAGACAAAATATCACCGTTTCCTGTGCAGAAGGGAGGGAGAAGCCAGAGGTCAAAGTGATGCAGCAGGGCAAGTCAGAATGAGCTAATCCAGGCATGGGATAAAATTCAAGAAGGACACAGGGTCATATCTAGAGATCCTCAGGAATGTTTCTGATTAACGTTCCCATAGCCTTCTCCTCTCTCTCCTTCTCTCAACTCCTACCCTGAAGGTTTAGCTGGGATTCTCTGTGCTGTGCTGCCTACCAACAGAAAGCACCTGCTGCAACCAAGGTGCTCTGCGTGCTGCCCTCCGTCCTGCTCTGCTCCACGCCAGGCCTCGAGCAAGCAGGCAGAACTGAGCTGCACCAGACTTTGTGGAGAAGGGCCAGGGATAATCCAAGCTTTCCCCCAGACTGGATGTATTTTGGAGCTGTATTTTCCCCCACTCTTTTTAACGTTTTTCAAACCGCATCCCGAAACACCTACCAAAAAGAGGCATGGGGCTTGCTATTTTAGCACATTCTGCTATGTAGTCCCAGTCAGCAACTCTTGTGTACCTCTGCTCCCTGGACCGGCCGTGCAGCTGCAGAAAGAAGTCACAGTGAGACCTCACTGAGCACCAGAAAGGAGGCAGAACAGCACAGGAGCACTGCAGGAGTGTGCTTTGACAAGGCAACGCCACCAGGCTGGGGTAAAGGATCCTAATGGGTGCCCAGCTGCTAACAAAGCAGGCTGCAGAGGTGGTTTGCAATGCTGAGAAATGCTGGATGCTTTTCTGAGTAACGTTTGGGCTATTTGCAAGGCAGAGCAGGAAGTGACTGCAGGCAGTGAAAGGGAATATTCACTGTGGGCAGGAACTACTCATCCCCATGCAAATGATTAGCCAGCCCTGATATAATGAAGCCCATCTGAATGAAGCCTCTGTTCCAAGGCCACCTCCTTTTGTAACGGATACAAGCTTCAGGAGCAGCGAGGACAATGTTCTAAATATAAAAGCATCACAATTTGTCTCTCTTTTTAGGAGCAAGCACCAGAAGATAGCACACAGATAGCCAGAGGTGTTTGAAAGAGCTACTCAGCTCTGGGCAGGGGGTGAGGGTCACACTGGGCTGACATGCAAGCAGAGCTCCCTGGACAGCAGCCAACCATTTCAAGCCCCAGCACCATTGCAAGTATCCCAGTACCGTGACCATGGATGCTCCCCACTCCCGGATCTTGGGGATTATTTTATGGGCCACGTTCATCTTTTCTTGCACCCCTGTCCGTATCTTCACAGTCAGTGGGACGTCCAGCACCTGCAGGAAGGGCAGAGTGAGGCTGGAGAAGCAGCTCAGCTCCACCTGCTGCTCTCCTGCTGTCAGCCCGTGGTTGGACTCACCGAGTTCATCCCTCGGACAATCTGCTCAAATTTGTTAGATCGAGTCATCAGAGCACAGCCTCCACCCTGGGGAAAGAAAGGTGGCACAATCAAGACTTTCTGCTCCCTTGCATAGAAAAGAGCAGCCCTCTATTCACAGAAAAGCAGCTAAAACTCCACGACTTCCCAGACTTGGTGTGGTTTTTTTGTGTTAAAACATTCCCTTTCTCCTTTTTCCCTCCCCACTTCAGCCTGCTGTTGAAGTCTAGTGTCCATAAACGACCTGGTAACTCTGGATCAAACTGACAGGGGCAGATCAGGGAGCAGGAAACGATGCAAACGACGAACATCTATGCACAGAAACAAGGCATGCTGCAAACATCTCCTTACCTTCTTGTAGACCAGGTCGATAGGACAGCCAACATTGATGTCTACAAAGTCCACATCAATCGTTTGGTTCAGGAGCTCTGCACATTTGGTCATCGTGTCTGGAAATGCTCCCTCCAGCTACCAAAGGGCGACAGTTTGCATGAGCTCAAGCAGCAGCTTTTTTTGCCTCAGAAGTGAGTTTAATTTGGCTGCACTCACCTGCACCCCAAAAATATCCTCGGTGTGGTGTCGTTTGAGGAGAGCCCACTCGGAGGACTGGCCCTGAAGCAGGTTTGTGCACACAGCCATCTCTCCACAGGTGACATCTGCCCCAAAGCGTTTGCAGATCCTTCTGAAAGGGAGGTTACCACACTGAAAGACAGCAGACAGATCGTTTGTGGGGAGATGAGCTCTGTTCCAAACGTGGCAATGGCAAATTCTGACCAAAGGACAGAACTGCCTACTTACCGTGGTCAGTGGGGCCAAGTAGAGCTTGCCTTGGATTTCCAACTGGAAAACAACCAGGGATGGAGGAGCATGTTAGCAGAGCTGAACCGGCAGCGGTAAAACACGAGGAGATCCCAGTTAGCCACTTTACCACCTGTCTTGAGAAAACTCAGTGGGAAACCCAGGAAATCACTGTTATTTGTTTAAGAACCTCAACAGCTCCCTGACACTGTATCATTTAATTGCTCCATCTGTTTTCACTGCTCAGCTTGGAGAAAACTCAGTTAAAGATGTAGCAGGATGTAAGACTGGCTAAAGAGGTCAGGAGGAGGCAGTGCTCAGCCTCCCCTCAGGAGAGCACTGCACAGTACAGGATATCGACCAGCCCCAGCCTCGTTTCTCCTTGCAGATCATTT